TCATATGGCTTATTATTGTTAACAGATATGTTTTACTTATTTTTACTTTGATGATTTATTAACTCAAAGTTTCATAATAAAATAAGCAATTCCTCCTAGTATAAAGTGAGTAGTGGCAAAATTCATTTAGAAGGCTTAATTTAATTATATAGTTACTAGGTAGAGGTTGATGTTTGCACCCACCCATTCAGCAGCTGATGCTTTGAGTAATCAGGAGCGTGTAATAAAAACACTCCCACATCAGTATTAAGAGCTGACACCATATGATCCTTTTTTTTTTTTGCATCAAATAAAACAACATTAAAACTATAATGAAACGACATTAAACTAATCAACTGCATAGCTTACATTTACAACTTTTACTATGGTACATTTCCTCTTCTTTTAGCCCACAGTAAAGATAACAGTAATAATAGACATATGCATAAACCCTCCTCTGCTCTGTGCTCCCCTGCCCCCTACCAACTCAGCTCCTATCTTAATCCTCTCATTACTATACATGCTTCATTTATATAAAGTGAAGCGATCAGGTGTTCTCCTGCTGTCTACCTGTCCGCCTTGGCTTTTATGTTATTGATCTCTGTAAGGTTGGGGAAGGCAAGAGGGTCCAGGTGTGACCCAAATAGAGGGATTAACTGCCCACCTGTTACTACAGTTTGGAAAAATTCTAATATGATCATAAACTTAAGATGATGCTCAAATATAGACATGTTCTCATTATTGGAGGCAGTAAGGAATACATTTCCCATGGAGGGCTCATTTATTATTTAATACAGGAGCTTGGTGTTTCTAGGCTAACACTGAGAGACTGCCCTTTCAGAATGGAAACCCCACCAAGCGCCAGAGAATCAATGCAGTCACTACAGACAAAAACCTTACATTGAAATGATGGCACTGCCTCGGCCACCACAAAGATTAATGATATACTATAATTGTGCACACCTCTGAACAGTCTACCACTTCAGTACTTAAAACATGCACTAATCTAAGTAATATAGAAACCAGGTTAAGACAGATCTATGACTTAGTAGATCACCACAACCCACTCTAGACTCAATAAAACATCTTCTTGGTTGAGACCTGAGATAAAATACATCCTTTCTGAAGTAATGTGTAACCTGATATAGCCTAGTTTGTCTCATTAAATAGATAGAATAAACAATTTGGTGCACCAATTAATATGAATAAAAAAAATAACCACAGTAGTTTTCAAAGTCATCAATAAGACATGTAGTACAATTGCCTATCAGCACATCTTTGTGGTGCCCCCTGGAGCTGGAGGAGGTAGATGAGTCTGACCATAGTGAAAAGGCACAGGGCAGTAATGAGTAATGAAAACAGCCGTGTTAGTGCTGCCATTCACTAAAGGCCTGCTGCTGTGGAATGTGAGGCACCATTCATTCGCATGGGTTAAAAATGCATTTCTGCCACCACAAAGCCCTGCCTTGTCCTCATTGTTTCTTACCATACCGATAAACACCGCCATGTTAAAAAGAACAAGATACAGAAATATTAAATTGCTAATTCTAATCCTACTGGAAATCTACAAAGAGGCTAGGCATTGCAAAAAGCTGAGATAAAGAGCTGAAGTTTGATCATGATAAGTGTGGCGACTGGCGACAGTAAGCACACAGGCAGTGCACAAAAGACAAAGTCCTATTGACAGAATATGCAGAAAGGAGGGTCTAGGCAAATAATGACTGGAGTATTATTACCTCATACATAAGTGATATTACTTAAGTAAAGAGTAGTCATCCAAGTTAGGGCAAATAATAAACAGTTGGCCAAAATTAAACCACGGTACACTAAATTATATTCTTGGTGAAAAATGTTTGACCTGAATCCTTGATGAGCCACAATGAGTCACTTTTAAACATAGCTTTGACTCCTGGCTGACTTGAAGGTGTTCAACAAGTAACCTCAGACATGACAGAGCTCATGACGTAATATTGCTGAAAAACACATGTCAAGTATAGTTTACAAGGTCTTTGAATCAACCTCAAACTAGAAAACATGCATGACCTCAAGTCTGCCACTATATAATGCAAAAGAATACGCATTACAATGTTTATTTACAATGCTTTGTGTAAATGTGTTGAAAAAATATTGCTTTCCTCTGTTACTTTGCTGAAGTTTCAATGACCTGTTTTCAATATGGTAAATTAACTACAAACATAACATCTGAAATTTGACAAGAGGAGACATTGTAATCCTGTCTGAAACAACAGCCTAGTACAGTCTCTTCCTCTCACTCTCTCCACCTCTTTCTCTCTTTACGTCTTGTGCCTCTGTGTGTGTGTGTGTGTGTGTGTGTGTGTGTGTGTGTGTGTGTGTGTGTGTGTGTGTGTGTGCGTGCGTGTGCGTGTGTGCGTGCGTGCGTGAGTGTCCGCATAAACCCACAGTGTGTTTTTCCAACAACTACAAAGAAAAACTGTGCACAGCAGAAAGTCAATATTAAAGGGGATGGAGAGGAAATCAAGTGCAAGAGTGCTCACTTTAGATTCCCATGCATAATGATGAATGAACAGTATTAGGTAATTACTGCACAGTTAATAGAGTGAGTTTACAAAGTTAGGGCATCACTTTGAAGCCAGCTGGTGAAAATATAAACATGGAAGATTCAATTGTTTAGTCCAAGTAAAAGTGAGAGGAGTACATTGTCTCTCCCTCTGCTTTACATAACTGTCGTCTGATAAGTGCTCCCAAGTGACACTTATAATGACAATCCTTCAATGTTCCAATATGCATGCTAATATCTCCTTAATACATGGTTTCATTACTTAACATTGTATTTTGGCCTGGAGGACACAGCTCATTACATCTAAGACTGTCTGTTGATGCATATTTTACAGCTATTTCCTCTATAATTAATGCACAATATGTCTCAGAGGCATTCACCATATGAGTAGAACTATCCTGTGCCTTCTAACTGTTCGAGACTGCAGATTTGTCTACATGCACAACAATAAAGTCATGGCTCCTCTTTGCAAGGTCCCATTCTGTTATCATTTAAACATTCCTCAAAATGACCCTTATCTCCATTGTAGCACATGTACTTAGCAGCCAGCGCTCACCCACACACTTAAACGAATTAGTTTTAGGCTATACCGAAGAAGATTGAGCAGTCCAGAGCGCGCACACACCCTTTATAATAAATAACAATTGTACACAGCACTTCCTTACCATTTATAACGCCGTTGTGAGTTCAAACAATACTCAAGAAAAAAAAAACAGTTAAGAACAGTCTTCAGGAGCTGACTAGATTCAGTTGAGATAAGAACGGGACACCGCGTCTGTGCCAGTGCTAAAACTGACAATAGCGAGCTCGTTCACTTTCACTTTGCAAAAACATCGCGTAAATTATGATCTATGACGAATTCCTGCCTCCTTGCGTACTACAGAACACTACAGGTTCCCTTTCTGTCTCTCTAGCGTCTCTGCTGTTTCACTTGAGTGGCTTTGCCTCACAGTAGGAAATTGTAACAGTAAGGGAACAGGAGGGTCAAATATACATGGTTACATTAGTGAAGGGTTTAACGCAGATCCTTAATTTGACGGATTTATCAAGTCAAAATTAGATTTGGTTTGCAATGTCAAATATAGCATTGTCATTCTTATATTGCATTACATGCTAAAGAAATTCTGATTTTGCGGAAGGAAGTGAACGCAGCCAGAATGGAAAGCTCTCTCGTGAAAGAGTAAGGACAACAAGACCAAATAAGACAACCAGAAAAGTTTGTCCCACTGTGCATCATTTGCCAACCAAGTCCAGTCTTAAACGTTTTGGGTCTTCAAGAAAGATTCCTGAATGGTTCAACTGCATCTGTCTTAGCTTCCAAGGAAAAGCGACACTGAGTATTTACTCGCTTACTAATACAACTCTGATTACTACATATATGCGCAATCACCTTGATGCGTAGAGGAGACGTTACTTTGACTCATGTTGCGGTTTATTGTCACCTGCCCGTGGTGCGTCTATCAGATAAAAGATCTAAAAGAGGAAGCAGAGCCCCTTACAGCCAAGGCTCTGTGGTCCTATTGTGTCCTTTTAACATAACAGCAGGCTCACATCCTTTAGTGTAGGTACATCATCGATGAGAAAAAAGTTGAAAAAAGACAGACCCGATCGCTCCCTCCTCCCTCTACTCCTCCCCTGCCACATGTTTAGGCACCCCCAAACACACGCGCGCGCACATCGCATGCAGATTAGTTGAGAGCGCAGGGGTCGGCAGAAATGCGACGACTCAGTTCACACCATAATACCTCCAAGCGAGTTTCACATCCTTCACATCCTAAATCTTGACAAGAAACAGTCACCTTTCTTTGTGGGACTTGCGGCTGTATAGGCACCTGTGCCTTGCTCACTGGCAATTGTGCCCTGACTATTATGTAGGACACGAGTTCCTAATATGGATATGCGCCCCCAGCACCACCACCACAACCGACCACCCCTCCTGTCCACCTCCACCCAGTAAGCCTGTCTGTCCGTTTGAATAGTTTTAACGGAGTTCTTCCTCCTTCTTTGAGATGCTTTAACAATAGACTCTGCAATTCTCTGTGCCCAAAAGCAACTATCACACATAGATCAATCTACTGCACGGCACAGAAAAGTTAGGTCCGATAGAGGTGTTGAATCCACATCCTATCCAAAATGTCATTTAGACTCATTTGCTTTTAATGCACCAAATCACTTTCTGGTAATTAAAAAAATTCTCAAGTGGCAAACCTTTTCTTCCGCTCCCAGAGTAGTTGGTGTTAAGATTTACGCAGATAATGTTCCTATGCATGATTTGTTATTTGTTGTCATCAGTTGTCAAGAGGTCACACAAGATTATTTTCTCTATCAAGCACCACAAGCCTGTCTCTCCATGTAACCTATTTATAAATCAACATCAGGCAATAGCTTTCCACCAACAGCCCATTGTAAAACATAAGTGATGGTTCAGTATATGCCGCAAGAGTACAGTATCCTAACGATACGGATTCGGCGATGTGCGTACCTGCCTCGTCGGAAAGAATAATCCAGGGTGACTTCAAGAAGCGCAGACAATCCTAAAGGTGAAAGCATGCTCTTTGCAGTGTATGCTGAAGTGCATGATTGAGTAGGGCGAGTCCATTTGGTCATTTGGGGGGTGCCCAACAGGCTCCAACCTATGCGTAAAGTGAAACACAAGAGATTAACTTTACTTCGGCACGTCACGTAATGATAAATGTTGTTGCGCATTTACGCGCGGCGGACCGTCTTAAAAAATAGATTTTGCCTGATATAGATTCAACCTTTTGTGCTTCCTGAAACCCCTTTTTAGAATACACGTGGCTTCTTCTGCATTAAATGGAACTATCTGCTATTGTCTCATCAGCGAAAAGTTGTTGATTCTGTTAAAGATCGGATAAGTGCCAAAAGAAAACAATGTAACTAAATAAAACGCAAATTCAGACAGGCATTTCATATGTACGAAACGACAAGATCTATTTAAGTACAGAATCGCATCGTGTTATTGTGCCCCTTTCATTACAATACTATTACGCTATTACAACTTGCTTCACCTATTCGCACCCACATAAGAAGATAAAATGTTACTATAAATGTTGACGTTAATCACATTTTTCAAACGCATGCGCTTAAAATGGTTTAGTTGTTTATTTAATTTTTTATTTTTTTGACTGGTGTAACTTGTATATGCTATCTGTTCCTAAAAACATACTTGAGTGCATTTGAAAACGGTTATATGGTATTAAATGACAACTTAAACAATGATGTTTTAGGCGTGCATAAGTAGGTAATTACTTGGGCTGGTTTCCCAGCTTGTTTTACTATTGGCTTGTCTTGTTTGAGATGACTAACATGGCAACTATGTAATTACAGCCACTGTCCAGCAATTGAAAACTTTTATCATATTTTTGATATTTGCTATTTTATAATAAAAACACTAGTAATATGTTGGATTATAAACACAGTGTAAAGAAACAAGTTGCCTTTATTCATTAATCAAACAAAGCTCCAGGTTAGCTTAACAAATACCAGGCCTTTGCCAGATAAAAACGTCTGAGATTAGAAGACTTGTGCAACAGGAAAGTCTTGAATTTTTTTTAAACGAGTGTGATCACTCATAAGAAAAGTGGACAAATCACACGTATAGCCTCCTCTAACAATGCATATTTGTTGTACGTGCCTGCCCTATGACACAGCATTGATTTTCTTCCAGGTGCTCAATCCATTAGGGCTTATATACGGTAGCCATGCATCTACAGTATACTGCAGTTGTTTTAATGTACTACCTCTTATTGTTGTGTGTTGGAGTCATCAGTAATAAGTGTCACTCCATGGCGCTGCTGTGGGTGTTGAGCAGAGGTCAGCCTTGTTTGCTCAGCATGCCTGCTCTGAAAGGGAGCCATGATGGGGACTGCTGATGCACAACTGACTTACGACATACAGACATCTTATCACCAGCGAAGCCTCCAATTGTAACGGCAGCAGCTCTGGCCGTCACACCGAAGAATTCAGATCTGGACACACACCCAAGCACATTAATATTTAAGTTTTATGAAAATCACACTGGTATGCATGAACACAAACACTCTTTCATCTAAATGCCCTTGATGAAATCTGAACTGCTGTACTGGCCTGATAATAAAGACTTAAAACATACAAAGACACACCAAAAGCCCTCTAGTGCAAGATACATGACTAAATGCAGTGCAGCATTCTTGAAATGTGATCTACTCACACCCAAACTAATGTATGCACACAGACTTCCATGTTTACACAGCCTATTTCCAATACTACACATACACTTATGTTTTGGTTCTTCACTTATCCTAGTTTTTTTTACAATTCCTCTGTGTTTCAGTCAAACTGACTTTCATATAATACACATATACACGCCCGCTCAGCTGGACTGCAGTGCATGTGAGTCACTGTTATGATACTTCCTGTTTTAAAAGAGCAGCCTTAAAACGCCCTGCTTCCTCTCTGCGCTTCATTCACATGTCAGAGGGAATGTCAGGACAAACACACACCAAGGTGCCCTCTGCCTCAGTCTTTGCCTCAGTGGAGCCTCACATACAGAAAAGCTCCTATGTCATTGGTTTGAATGCCCCCCTCCTATCTAACAGTCACTCTTCTAAAATGACACGTGAGCGTGATCACTTTTAAAAACTCAGATTATTCTTTAAATGTTTCATATCCTTAACAGTGATGCAGAGGACAATGTATGCATTCTGCACACTGCAGGAATAAGCATTTGTGCATGCATGGCAGAGACACACACCTCCGGATTACTCAGAGGTTCATTATTTAGCAAAACACCTTAAGCTGTTAGCCAAAACATTGTTGCCATTGTATCACAGATACTTGATTATATCTGTGTGTTCAAATACTGTTCAAGTGAATTTGTATAAAATGAAAGATCTATGCAAAGGTTTACAAATCAAAATTTTTGAAACTATGTCATGAATAGGGGTGGGTTCATATAATTTTTTCTTCTTCCCACTCCTTTTCGAGAAATATGCTTTTCTGTTGTTTACAATGTGTATGTAGTATATATGATTATTGTTTCTTTCTTGGCACAAACTAGAAATAAAAACAAATCAATCAATCAATCAATCAATCAATAAACATATCATAGATGCCTATTCTATAATAACCTTTTGCAGTTCCACATATGACAAAACAGCCTTAAATGTCAAACTAAAGCATAGAAATATTTCCTTATTCAGTATACTTTCATATTGACTGTCTTCCATTACTGTCTCTCATGCAGCCACCATTTCCCAACCATCCAAACGTTGCATGCCACTAAATCTTATGACAGCATTATCAGAAGCATATGCAGTGTATAGAAGTCGCTTGCTACCTGGATACACCACCTTCACAAGTTTTCTCCGGTGACTGACACCCTCAGCCCCCTTGTGCTCAATTAGCTTGTAGTGCATTAGCAACCACATGCTAATTGTCAGCTGGCAGAGAAGTGTAAGGAGAAGCCTACCTCAGGGAACATTGGTGGAGGAGAGATGGGCGGGTGAATGGGTGGGAGGGGGTGGGGGTTAAGGCTGGTGCTGCTGATGTGCTTTGTTACCAAACTACCCAATGTGCATTACGGCACAGTATCAGAACAGCACAAGGGAACCCAGATCTTTGCCATGTGAAATATTTATTAGATATCAAATTACCTTGTCTGAATGAGACACTGTTTTATTTTGTTCCTCTTCAAATGGAATCCAAATATTCCACTGCTGATAACTCCATTTTGTCACTTCCTTCATTGTCTCCTGTGTGCCATTAAAGCAATGTATTGCAGCTGTAGTAAAGGTTTTCAGTTTTGCTGTAAATTATACAAGCCACATTCTCCTCCACTCTGTCTTGTTGACTTGACTTGATCTCAAACTGCTTTTGGAATTCGTTTGATCATTTGAAATTCATTCTCTACCTGCAAAAATACGCTCACGTCATTGCTGAATTTAACATCTCTCTAAATGTTTTATACCTCTCTTTTTTGGCAACAGTTTCTCTCCTTATCAGATTTCTTTAGATGTCGGAAGACAGCTGATCCAACTTGAAATTGTTTATGGTGGTATTCTAAAGCAAAAACACAGCATCTACCTTAAAAGGATCAAAAGAGACATGTTAAGAGAAAAAAATGTGACAAGAATGACAAAAATGTTGCTTATAATTCACAGCAGCATTAAGTGGCTGCAGTTGTTAGTCCAGGGTGTGGGTACAGTGAAGCAAAGGGAGGGGTTGCTGAAATGTCCTATACAGTACAAAGGAAGGTGACTGATTGAGACGTCCCAGGTTGTGTTCTGTCGCTAATATAGTTATATGGCGTAATCGTGCAATAATAACATCCTAATCCCATCTGCTTTGAAAAACTGTGTACTGCGTGTGACAGTGATTGTGGTCATTTCCTGTCAGAGTACTGCAATACACATATGCTATGTATTTGTGTGTGTGTGTGTGTGTGTGTGTGTGTAAGTGTGCGTGCAGTGGCAGTGCATTTTAAGCAGCGGTGACTACGGGAGGCACCCTGATGGATACAGGATCATACTGCAGAGCTGACATTGTCTTCAGTCCTCCTCCTCTTCCTCCTTCCTTCACCCTCCCTTACTGTCTGCTTGCCTTTCAGCACAGAAAAAAAAACATAGAATCAGGAGAGTGTAGCCAGCCACACGCAAGTACAATGAAAGATGTAACCTTATAAAAATCGTATAAAAATGGCCAAGGAAAGCACATGAAAGCGGATAGTGTTTCCCAAAAGAAGCACAAAGGCATATATTCCCTACAGCAAAAGTAATGTACCTGCCTCCTCCTTCCTTGTTCCAGTATTGAGTGCATTACACCCACATGCACTCCCTTAGCTCATTCAGCCATGCATGTTTCCAGACAAGGTGTTTTTAAAAGAAACAAAAGCACACTGGGACAACCACAGCAGGGATTTCATCAAATGTTACGTCACTTTGTCTTGTCATTAAAGTGCATATGACAGGATTTTTCTGCTCATTACATTGTTTGCTGTAGCAGAGATTTATCATAGCTTTGCACTAGTCAAGTGTGAAGAAATAAAGGTAAAAAAAAAAAAAAAAATACAGGAAGTAGTGGTGCTGAGTTCTAAAAAAGGAATCTCTTTATCTATGTCAACATTACACAAATTTCATTCAAAGTCCAGGGATATTTTACATTTTTTGACAGTTTTAACATTCATTTAATAAAATTAAGGGGAAGTCTCACATTTAATCAGTTCAAATAATAACTATTACGTAAATTGGATGAACTTTAACCCTAGGTGGGTTTTAGATAACAGTTTTGGAATTTCCTTTACGTATGTCATAACTGCTGCACATGTCCAACCAGGAAGTAAAACTTAAATTTGACCAAAACTCTCAAACTAGTATAAACTACACACAACTCAAATCTTTAATATAATTTTGTTAACTACGTTTTAGTGAAATGAGTTGTGTAACCTGTTTTATATACTTTAATCTATAAGCATACTACTTTCAAGATCCTATGTCTGCCCAACAAGGCAAAGAGGAAGTGGAGCAGGCAGCAGAGGTTGTGCCTTGCCACGCACACATGCAGTTTGTTTTACTGGTGACAGAGACCCTGTTACATTGGGCTCCACACAGAGGAAGGGAAGTCCTGTCGTAGCCC